TGCTGCTAAGCATAATGATTACCAATAAATATTTACATATAAATATTTAGGCATAGGATATTTTTCCAGTCCTTTTTGGGCTAATAGTTGAAAACACGCAAATGCACTCTAGTTATTAAGCACTCACTATGTCTCCTCGGAAGGAAAGTTGGGCAATCTACTTCTGTAGTGATATTGCCTTGGCAACCCAAGGAGGGGTCACTATGAGTTGGGGTCGACTCGACGGCACATAACAACAACAACAATGTTCCAGACATTGTTCTGGGTGGGCATTAGAGATTCACTTGTAAAAAAGACAGACATGGAATAAGAGAGAGGAACAAATATTAAACAGGTATTTTACATTTTACAGATGGAGCAGTGGGTCTCATCAGGGCACAATTTTACAACCCTTTCCCGGAACAGTTGGCAATATCTGGAGAGGTTTTTAACTGTGGTAACTTGGGATGTTTGTGCTACTGGCATCTAGTGGGTTGCATACACTGCCATCGAGTGGGACCTGACTCACAGCAACCCCTCCTTGGGTTTCACAGTATCACTACGGAAGTAGATTGCCCAACCTTCCTTCCGAGGAGTGGCTGGTGGGTTTGAACCTCCAGCCTGCTGGTTAGCAGTCAAATAATGTGTTAGGCATTACACTACCAGAGCTCCCATGGATGCTGCTAAACATACTACCAGAGACACAACACAGCCTACCCTCCCCAACAAAATTGTTTGGTCCCAAATGTCAACATTGCTGATGTAGAGAAATCTTGAATTAAAGTGATAACTGTTACAAAGTAGAAATAAAAAGAGCTCTGAAAACTTAGATAATGTGGTTGTGGAAGGTTTCTCAGAGAAAGTGAAATGTAAATTCAGACTTAATGGATTAGTTGACTCTAGCAAGGGATGGTGGGGTGGGAGCAGTGTGAAAGGGGGATCGTTGTTGTTGGGTGCCATTGCGTTGGCTCTGACTCAGAGATCCTATGTGCAACAGAAAGAAAACAGACGACATACTGCAGATTTGCCCAGTGCAGTGTGTCGACTGATTTCTTGACTGCTGCTTCCATGGTCTATGTAAAAGCATTTGATTGTGTGGATCATAACAAATAGTGGATAACATTGAGAAGAATGGGAATTCCAGAACACTTAATTGTACTCATGAGAAACCTGTACATAGACCAGGAGACTGTCGTTCGAACAGAACAAGGGGGACACTGCATGATTTAAAAATCAAGAAAGGAGTGCCAGGGTTGTATCCTTTCGCCACACTTATTCAATCTATATGCTGAGCAAATAATCTGAGAAGCTGGACTGTATGAAGAAGAACATGGCATCAGGATTGGAGGAAGAATCATTAACAACCTGTGATATGCTGACAACACAACTTTGCTTGCTGAAAATGGGGATGACTTGAAGTACTTAGTGATGAAGATTGAAGACTACAATCTGCAGCATGGATTACATCTCAATAGAAAGAAAACAAAAATCCTTATAACTGGACCTATAAACAGCATCATGACAAATGGAGAAAAGATTGAAGTTGTCAAAGACTTCGCATTGCTTGGTTCTACAATCAACACCAATGGAAGCAGCAGTTAGGACATCAGATGATGTATAGCACTGGGCGAATCAGCTGCAAGGGACCTCTTTCAAGTGCTGAAGAGCAAAGATGTCTCCTTGAGGACTAAGGTGCACCTGACAAGCCATGATACTTTCAATCGCCTTCTATGCATGTGAGAGCTGGACAATGAATAAGGAAGACCGAAGAAGAGTTGATGCTTTTGAGTTGTGGTGCTGGCAAAGAATGCTGAAAGTACCATGGACTGCTAAAAGAACTAATGAATCTGTCCTAGAGGAAGTGCAGCCGGAATGCTCCTTGGAAGCGAGAATGGCCAGACTTCATCTCACCTACTTTGGCCAGACTTTGTCTTACCTACTTCGGTCTTGTTGTCAGAATGGACCATTCCCTGAAGGATGTCATGCTTGTTAAGGTGGAGGGTCGATGAAAGAGGGCAAGGCCCTCAATGAGATAGATTGATACAGTGGCTGCGGCGATGTGCTCAAGTATAGCAAGGGTCATGGAGCTGGCTCAGGACCCGGCAGTGTTTTGTTCTGCTGTGCATAGGGTCGCTATGAGTCGGTGATGACTCACTCGGCGGCACTTAACAACAACAACAGCAGCTTCCATGGGTGTTGACTGTGGATCCAAGTAAAATGAAATCACTGATAACTTCAGTGTTTTCTTCATTTACCATGATGTTGCCTACTAGTCCAGTTGTGATGATTTTTGTTTATGTTGAGGTGTAATCCATTCTGAAGGCTGAAATGTTTGACCTTCATTAGTAAATGCTTCAAGTCATCTTCACTTTCAGCAAGCAAGGTTGTGCCATCTGCATATTGCAGGTTGAATGTGTCTTCTTCCAATCCTGATGCTGCCTTCATCTTTAGATAGTCCAGCTTCTCGGATTATTTGCTAAGCATACAGATTGAATAAATATAGTGGAAGGATACAACTATAATGCACACTTTTCCTGATTTTAAACCATTCAATATCTTCTTGTTCTGTTTGAATGACTGCCTCTTGGTCTATGTACAGGTTCTTCATGAGCACAATTAAGTGTTCTGGAATTCCCATTCTTTGCAATGTTATCCATAATTTGTTATGATCCACATAGTTGAATGCCTTTGCATAATCAGTAAAACACAGGTAATCATCCTTCTGGTATTCTTTGCTTTCAGCCAAGATCCATCTGATGCCAGCAATGTTGTTGTTGTTATGTGCCATCGAGTCGGACCTGACTCATAGCAACCCCTCCTTGGGTTTCCGAGGCAGTATTACTGAGGAAGTAGATTGCCCCATCTTCCTTCTGAGGAGTGGCTGGTGGGTTTGAACCGCCAGACTTCTGGTTAGCAGGACATCAGTAGTGATATCCCTCATTCCGTGGACTCTTCTGAATCCAGCTTGAATTTCTGGCAGTTCCCTGTCAATACACTGTTGCAATGGTTTTTGAATTATCTTCAGCTAAATTTTACTTGCATGTGATATTAATGATATTGTTTGATAATTTCCACATTCTGTTGGATCACTTTTCTTTGTAATGGGTATGAATATGGATCTCTTCCAGTTAGTTGGCCAGGAAGCTGTCTTACGAATTTCTTGGAATAAACAAGTGGGCCCCTCCAGCACTGCATCTCTTTGTTGAAACATCTCAATGGGTATTCTGTCCATTTCTGGAACCTTGTTTTTTGCCACTGCCTTCCGTGCAGCTTGGACTTTTTCCTTCAGTACCATCAGTTCTTGGTTATATGCTACCTTCTTAAATGGTGGAACATTGATTAATTCTTTTTGGTACAGTGACTCTGTATTCATTCCATCTTCTTTTGAGACTTCCTGCAAAGTTCAGTAGTTTGTCTATAGAACCGTTCAATATTGAACTTTGAGTCTTGAGTGTTTTCTTCTGTTCTTTCAGCTTGAGAAATTCCAAGTGAGTTCTTCCCTTTTGGCTTTCTAACTCCAGGTCTTTGCACATTTCATTATAGTATTTTCCTTCGTCTTCTTGAGCCATCGTTTAAAATCTTCTGTTCAGCTCTTTCACATCATTGTTTCTTCTGTTCACTTTAGCTATTGTCCATTCAAGAACAAGTTTCAGACATCTGTTTTGGTCTTTCCTGTCTTTTTAATGACCTTTTGCTTTCTTCATATATGATGTTCTTTATGTCATCCCACAACTTATCTGGTTTTTAGTCCAAGGGGGGTGGTCCAAGGACATGTATATACACGCACACAAGTATGTGTATATTCATGAACAGACATATACATGAACAGACATAGATATATAACTCCTTGCTATTGAGCCGATTCTGTCAGTGACCCTATAGGACAGAATAGAACTGCCCCAAAGTGTTTCCAAGGCTATAGTCTTTATGGAAGCAAACTGCCACATCTTTCTCCTGCAGAGTAGCTGGTGGGTTCAAACTGCAGATCTGTTGGTTAGCAGCTGAGCACTTTAACCATTGCACCACCAGGGCTCCTCATATATGTTGTTGTTATGTGCCGTCGAGTCGGCCCCGACTCATAGCGACCCCTCCTTGGGTTTCCAAAGCAGTATCACTACGGAAGTAGGATTGCCCCATCTTCCTTCTGAGGAGTGGCTGGTGGGTTTGAACCACCAGCCTTCTGGTTAGCAGTCAAGTGCCTTAGCCACTATGCTACCAGAACAATTGTTTTCCTCATATATAGACATATACATATATATTTACTAATGCTCAATAACATCTGCTGAGTATCTATAGTTAACGTTTATTGAACACTTCTGTGATAGGTGCTACACTTTACGTGTAGTATTTTATTAATCTTCACTGTGAACCAGGAAGGAGCTCTGATGGTGTAGTGAGTAAGGCGTTTGGCTGCTAGCCAGAAAGCTGGCTCCCACCAGCTGCTCTCTGGGAGGAAAATGAGGCCATCTACTTCCATAAAGATTTATTTATAGCCTTGAAAACCCAATGGGGGGCACTATGAGTTGGAATCAATTCAATAGTGGTGAGTTTGGTTTTGGGTTAATCTGGAAGTAGATGCTATTATTACACATTTTCCCTTGAGAAAGCTGAAGTACCTTGCCTAAGATCACATAGTTAGCCAGAATCAGGATTTGAACTCTGGTTCCAACTCTCCTAAGGCCACTCTTAACTATTACACTGTAAATGCCAGAGAAAGGCAAGGGGAACATTAAATGAGCACTGGGAATGGAAAGGTTAGTTGAAGACTTCATGATGAACAGATGTGGAATTTCAACTGTACTTTACTACTTTAAATTTGTTGCAAGACTTAAAATTGTATGGAATAATTGTGTAATATTAATTTTAAGTAATTTTATACTTTCACAAATATTTTAAGATGTATTTTCAGAATGTTTCTATATGCCTATAACAAAGTAACATTAGAAGTTATGAAGGGCTGTTTGCAGACAACCGTCCTCACATTTTTACTTTAATTTTCTAATGTAGGTCTTTGTGGCATTATGCCTTTTTTGTGTGGAACTCAGCCAAGGTTTCCAGTGGAAGGAGGAGATTCTTCAGTAGGACTGGAACCTGGGCTCAGCTCTAGTGCTGCCTGTAATGGGAAAGAGACTTCACCAACCAGGTAAAACCCTCTTCCCCTACAGTTGAGACAATGTGCAATCACTATCATCAATACAAGCTTTAGCTGATGTTCAATATTGGCAAGGAAAAAAAGAGAAATTCAAAATGTTGCTATTAAGAGGCGGGGCAAGATGGCGGACTAGGCAGAAGGATTGCACAGACCCTCTTCAACAAAGAAAAGGGAA